CTATCCTAATGGTTTTTAGGTACAAATAGTATAATGTCAGATAGGATGCAATAAGTAGAACGAACAATGAAAGAGTATTTAAGACGGTGACATGAGTAATTTATTTCGAATATTAGAAAATATGAGTCTGCTCGGGCATGAAAAACTTGTAAATGGTGGCAATAATGAAAGCTCAAATGTCAGACTGGATGATCGGCAACATGTGAACAGACATATTTGGCTTTAATGAACAGCTGAATATCTAGTAGCAGTCAGTAAGACACGCTTTTTGTTTTTGATTCGGCGGATTCTTTTCAGGTAATGTGGAGCCAAATGCCTTAAAGCACGTTTGTCGTACACCTTCTACTCTGTCTGTGTCTTATCCCTGATGTTCGTGATGGTAAATAAAAGAACATGTATGAATCTGATGTCAATCGAATATACGAAGTATTTCTAGTTGCCCGTTTTAAAAGTGAATACACGCAACTATAAGCAACTATGTCGTTAAAACAAGTGGTGTAAGAGAATGTTTTCAGTGACTAACAGATTGTATTATCTGTTAGTTTTATTCCCATCGCTTTTTTTCGCTGAATCCTTTTACTTCATCTCATCTTGTTAATGTCACTCGAATCAAGTGGGACATTCTTCTTCATAGTGAGAATTTGAATGAAAATGTTTGGTACTGCAATGTACTAGCAGTTGCCTCATTTGCTCAGTCTAGGGCCCAGTGAATCGACTTTTAACGTCGGTGAACCTTACTTGTGACAACGGGCTGGAGGAAAATTTATCTCTACCTTGACGAACAAGCGGGTAAGTGGTGGAGAGAGAACCAAGACAACTTTGAAGACTGGTATAGCTTCAGAAAGATCTTCGAAGAGGAGCATAGCCCGTCGTTAGCATCAATTCTGGCAACCGCAGCCAAGGACATGGCAGACCGAAAGCAAGGCAAGAGCGAGCCCCTTACGGCCTACTACCACGACAAGATCAAACTCATCAAAAGGTACGAGACACACATGCCAGAAGCCCAACAACTCGAATGGCTTCAAGCAGGAATGTGGCATACCACACTCAAAGAATTCCTCAAGCATACTATCATCTCCACCAAGGAGCTAAAGGACTACGGCATTCAAATTGAAGCAAAGCAGAACTTGCTGGCTAAAATCAAAGTGGAGCAAGAAGAAGGAGAGCGCACTGCAAGATTGGTGCAACAAGCCCAACAGATTGGCGAACAACCACGATACGTGCCCCCATATCAGCGCAATACGGGTAGCTACGCCGACAACAGATCGATGCCCAATAACCAGTGGGCAACTCAACAGCCATCTGAGTGGCATAACCGGTGCTACCAATGCGGCACGTTGGGGCACACTGCTCGAGACTGCCATTCTCATCATTCAAAAAAAATTTCAGGGGGAATGAATGGTGGTACTATTCCCTCATATCACCTCCACCAATCACTCATCATCATTGCAGCCAATGTCAACGGCAGCAAGCTCCAAGCGATGGTGGACACAGGTGCTACGGCCACATTCATTAAGGCGGCAATAGTTCACAGCATCAAACATCGTCACATCACTCCGACACAGGCAAGAACAACATTAGCTGACGAACACTCTACTTCTGTAATTCTTGGAATAGTCCGGTTGCTTGTAAAAATAAATCATGTGCCTACGTATGTAAGAGCGTTTGTGGCAGAAAATCTCACAGCCGACATGATCCTGGGGATGGACTGGTGTTCAAAGAACAACGTCGAAATATACGCCACAAAAAAAAGAGGTGGATGTGTGGCATCATCGGTTGGGCAAGACAACAGCTCACTTCAACGAGCAAGCCTCAGTGGACGTCGAACTTACTGGCAGGATCTGTCTACAACCTTACGAAGAAAAAGTCGTCCGAGTTAACGTGGCACTGTCATCAGCGCAGCTCGTCTGTTTTGAACCTGACATAGCTGAGTGTGCAAAACGAGCAATTGCAAGTTATACGGCGGTTTCGACAGTCAATAAGTGCTCATCCAACGTTTTGTTATTTAACCGCACAAATCTACCTAACACCATCAGGAAGGGGACAAAATTGGGTTCGATCTACTTCATGTCGGACCAAACAAACACACACTGCCTACTCGATAACAAAACAAAGCAACTCGGTATGACCAGCACGAACAGTGAACTCAAGCCACAAGCGAATGAAGTCAATGCAGTGATTGACAAGTTAACCGAGCATATTACCAACAACCAAGACCGACTCGATTTCCTCGATATTCTCCATCAGTTTCGGCATACGTTCTATATATCACAGGCCACCCAAGCCCACGTTACTATTCATCACACCATTCCAACAGCCGATGCTCGACCAACAAGTGTTTGCCCGTTCTACAAGACTCCTCAACAAAGAGAGGTTCTGCACGAAAAGGTGGAAAAATGCTTCACGACAATGTTATTCGAGGATCAACCGCACCATGGGCATCACCTGTCATTCCAAAGAAGAAACCAGACGGCACATATCGCTTTCTGGTCGACTTTCGCCGCCTGAATGCCGTCACAAAGAAGGATGCTTATCCACAGCCCACCACCGAAGAACTGCTGAATCGCCTAGCAGGACACCGCTTCTTCACAAAACTCGATCTCAAGTCGTGGTACTTTCAAATCCCCATATCCGAGGCCGACAAGGAGAAGACAGCGTTTGTAACACAAGATGGCTTATACGAATTCAATGTATTAGCACAGGGCCTGATGAATGCACCGCCCACCTTTCAGTGTGTGATGAACAACCTGATCGCCACGGGACGATGGAACTATGTTGTTGTTTACCTGGACGACATCCTCATCTTCTCCGACTCAATAAAGGAACACAAGAAATACGTGGTCGAAGCACTATGGATTCTTCAGAAAACCCGCTTCAGAGTATCACCATCCAAGTGTGTCATTGCTGTTGAAAAAGTCGAATTTCTCAGCCACATTATCAGTGTCGCCGGCATAGAACCATCACCAGATAAAATCCAAGCAATCTTGGACATTCCATCACCAAAAACGCTAACCCAAGCAAACAGATTCATTGGTAAGATTGGCTACTAAGTAATCTCTCTATATTAAGAGAAAATCTGAGCCAAAATTCTCAAAGTAGAGAGGTATTCTCCCCACCTACCCCCGCTTACGGCGCCCCCATATGTAAAGAAAACTCAGAAAATATTTTGTAAGGAATGTTATTTCACTTTAGATTTTAATGGTAAATTAATCGATATATTTTTAAGAAAAAAAAACACTCGAAAAGTATTTTGACTAATAAATTAGTCGAGTTAATAATCAAAGCGATTTTTTAATTATTATAAAAAAAAAGGATCATTTTAGTTTTAAAATAGATTAATGTGAATATTAGTCATAGTTGTTTGTTTTCATCGTTTGAGATCATTCTAATTATTTCGAAAAATAGAACAATAAACAAAGATAATTGGAATTGTTCATTAATAAATGATCAATTCTCTCTTTAGCTAATTTATTTATAAAATAAAATTACCTTTGATTATTATTTCTATAGATATACCAGCAACAATTTGTTTTGCTAATTCTAAAATAAAAAAAAGAAACATATTTATGATACATGAAAAAAAAAAAATTTGAATTAAAATGTTACGTCGAATAATTTGAAAAATAAATTTGACAACATTATACATTCTATTAACAAAAATACATTTAACAACATTACAAGCCATCAGAACTTGTTCACCTAATACATAGTTAACATTAGTCGAACAAATAAATGCAAATTGTTCACAATTTTTAATAACAAGACTATATGTTTTCCATATATCTCTTTGACGTTTATCATTATAAATAGTAAGAGCATTTTAAACAATAACATCTTCAGATAACCTATCAGTTAAATAACATGTTCCACTTCTATTTAAATAATTATCCATTGGATCTATTTTATATCTAGCAACATTAACATTATGTAAATAATTAAATGGATGTTCACATCGAAATTCTTTTAAAGCAACAATATTTAATCCATGAATATTTTGTTCAACAATCATTTTTTCTTCGATCTTTTCTGGAATTAATTTAGGAGATAATGTTGTAATAATATCTTCTTTCGTAACAACAATTCCATGACGTTGATATATTCCGATTTTACGCCAAGCATAAACATGATCACCTCGACGTGGAATATATTCTGTCATTATAAAAATAAGTTTCTATTGAAATTCAATATCTTGTATTTTATATAGAAATCAGTAGCATCAAAATAGGTTAATTATCTTGCTTATTTTTTCCTGTTCTCCAAATAACATTGATGAAAATTGCGCTGTCAAGTGTCATAGAAGAACGAAAGAAAAAAAAATCAATGTTGTTTCAATAAAATCAATAGAAAAGAAATAAGCAAAAATAAATATAAATGACGTACAGGTACGTATTTCATTTAATTTAAACAATTATGCACTAGTCTATAAAAAAATTTTCAATAACAAGCGTTAAAATAAAGACCAAATCAAGAGCTTTTCCAGAAATCATACCAATCAAACCTAATATAAAATTCAATTTATTTCTTTTCCGAATAATGCAATCTACTCCTGGGTTTATACCAATTACTGTCTGTTGATTAAAGTGAGAGAAATAAATATAAAAAAAAAGTGAATATTCGTAAAGAAAATCAATGCTGATCAAAAAGAAAAGACAAAATTTTTCATTTTTTCGATGAATATTGATAATATCGAAGTCCAGCAGTTTTCGAGAATGCTGGAATAGCAATATGACCACATGCATGCCCATACTCACAGATCAATATAGTAACACCTTTCGATTATTAATGGTAGTCTTCTTCGTTTGAAAAATTTTCTTGTTTTTTCGTTCTAATCAACATTGATTCACATTGCGAATATTCACATTTTTATTTCTTTTTCTTACTTTTATCAACGGAAGGTAAAGCCTCACGTACAAAAAAAAAACACTAACTGCGATAACATTCTTTTTCAATCGATGGAGAGTAAATTGCGCACACGTTGCTCTTGATCATAGCGATATCAAAGACAACAGGTACAGTCATAATTTCCCCAATTCGTTCGGAAAATTTTTTCTATTTTTTGTTTCAATTCGTATGACTATTTTACATTTGATCAAAAATATTTTTATATTTAGATCATCTTTAGATTCTCCTCTTTCAAACAATATATTTTTAGTCGTTCATTTGGGATGTGGGTGTGAATGAAGAAGAGATCGACATTAATACTCACACCCACACCCTAGATCCAAATGAAGTTAAATTTTCTGTTTTACCAAAACGCTTACAATAAAATACAATCGATAAGAACAGAAAGTTTGGAGAGAATCTGTTGAGAATCTATAGATTGGATGTTAGTGAGCCTAGTTAACATTTCACAAAGACCCATCCATAGCCTCACCCAAAACATAATTGTCGTCAACACCGTGTGATGAAAGAATTTCTTTTTTTGTTGTTTGGTAATATACGAATAGTAATAACTAAGAATTATTCTTACTTGTACTTATTATTTATTCAGAAACTGACAAGTATTTATGCTCTGTTTGTCATGAGTTTTATTGATCAGATTGTGACCCATATTTATGTTTAGATTTAATACCGTTTTGGGATATGAGTTAACGTTTCAACTATTGATAAATAATACTATAGTATTCGACACATAGTAAGAAAAGTATCATTGTTTTATGTATTTTCTTAATAATATTGATTCATTCACTACTAAACTTCAAGAATATAAGCTGCAATAACGTATGAAGCAATTCGTACGAATCTCTCGTTGGTACTGCCGATGTATACTTGTTCTTAAAACGATTCTTGTATAGTGTAAAGCTTTCTCCTCTAATATGTACTGTGAATAGTATGTCTGCGACTGTGAGTCTAGGTAGAATGTAAGTATATGATTTTTATTGAAGAGAAGGATAAAATGCAGCCATATTTACACAGATCTATATCCGTATTCACACTCACACCCAAGTTATATCAACTGTTTGATGATAATGAAGTATAAAATTAACAAAAATACTTTTTGTAAAACTTATTTTAATTCTTATTATTATAATACTTATTACAAATCAGACGTCTTTTAAAGTTCATTCATCTATAATGAATACATTCAGTGTTGAAACTTAGTTACTGTTCATCCACTTTTAGTCCATTGATTTAGGATTATCATATGTTGCTGCGTCAAAATTCATGACAATCATTCATGAAAATATGACATTTATTTTATATTTTATTATTTATTACATGTGATTTTCATCAATAGCTGAAGTTTATTTTAAAGCGAAATGCAACATGAAAAGAATAAAATGTTTTCTAATTGTTCATCTAAGCATTGTTCATTATTCAAACCAAAATTAATATTGAAATTTAAAAATATGCAAGTCAAAACTGAGTAGTCATAATGGTTCTGTAGCCTTCTGGTTTAACAGTTGCTGTGAATTATGTGAGTGCTAGTGATTGTCGACGTAGAATCTTTTCTCGAAATATTTTCTTTACGTGGATTATAGACACGAAGCAAATGAAAGAAAATATTAAAAAAAATAAAATAGGAGAAAAAATAAATGTACGCTATTGCATCAGCTCCGATGCTTGACGGCATACCACATAAATGAGCAATATATATAATACTGAGGGGAAAATTGAGGGAAAAATTCGGAATGGATAATGCCAATAGTTGAATTGTCATTTTTCGTTGTTTACGTCAATGAATTCGTTGACGTGTACGATATTTCTGCCAGATTAGTCGACCAAGGAAACTCAACGTAATAAATGGCTCGAGAATCGATGGTGTGATATTATTCGCAAGTACATCCCACGTATATAAATTTTCGTTATTTAGATAACAGACAGAGTAGCTACAATACATGGATGTATAATCATAAGCATTTTCGCATGGATAAAAAAAATAAACATATATATAATAAATAAAAATATATAAGATCATAGAAGATAATGGTATATAATGTGAAATTATTCGGTTTTTTCTTGTTGATATCCATTGATCATGAAATACGATAATATGTCGTTCGAAAGCCATCCAAGCCATAAGAATGATTGCTCCATTGTACAAACTAACAGCGACAAAATACCAAAATAGACAATTCGATGGATTTGCTAGAATAACAGCAGAATGTACAAGGTAGTTGAGATAGAATGGTACATGAATTAATTGAATAGTCAAACCAAGAAGCAGTACAATGACGAGAACATGATTTTTCACACTTGTGCGTACTTTTCTATTA